GTCAAAGTAATCAGCGGGTACCGGTACCTGTCTCTTATACACATCTAAGGATTTTATTTTCGACTACTGCAGTTTCATGCAATGTGCAATCGTCAGGTCCGAGTTATTGAGCAGAAAGGATGGTATATATATACGTGTTGTGGAATTTACAGCTGGGAGAAAATGTTTCCATTAGCAACAGGTATATTATAAGTGATGGGCGTGAGGTTTGTAGAAAGTGGGCGTGAAAATTAACAGTTCTTAAGCAAGTATTTGTTGCGGTGACGACAGGCGGAAATCAACTCTGATCGTTTGTTTAATGTTTTGTTACGGTCGGATGCGATGATGTAATACTTTTCTGTTAGGCATAGGTTGCAGCGTTTAGTGATATTGTTATATGGGGGTGCTCGTTTCATTATGTTCCATTTAATGGTGAAGGGGGTGTTGCTTTCTTTCAGTTCCCATATATATTTTGACAGTCTCGTGCTGTTCTGATGCTTGCGATGATTAAAGGTGTGCTTGTGTGTGGTGTATCTGTATTTGAAGGTGTTCTCCGTTAATCCAATGTACTGTTTCGTGTCGTTTTGAGTTGTGATTTCGGCTTTGTAGACCACGTTCTGGGTATTTCCATGTTAACAACCTAGCAGGATTTTTTCTCAGTCGTGGCTATCCTCTTAACCTCATTAAATCCCAAATTACTAAGGCAGCAGAACGTTCACGGCAAGACCCCTTATCTCCTAAAATCCGCCCCACATGCAATCGCATTCCCCTCATCCTTGATTTTCACCCCTCCATCACGTCCTTATCTAGAACTATTAGGAATGACTTCACCCCACTTCAACACAATGAATCCACCCGACTCCTATTTGACCAACCGCCGTTACTCGCAAGCCGTCAACCCCCTAACCTCAAAATGATCCTCACATCCTCACGCTTGTCACCACCTAAAAGAGGCAACTCTAAATGCAACAAACCACGATGCATGATCTGCAAACTACTCATCACTGACACACAAATTAAACTACCCCACTCCTCTCATAACATTCATCCTCCTGCCCTGACTTGCGATTCTTCTAATGTCATATACCTTCTCACTTGTGTCAAATGTAACAAAGGGACCTACATCGGGGAAACCGGCGCTAAATTTAAATTAAGATTTAACAATCACAAACAAAGCATCCGCAAAGGTAACACAGACGGCTTTCCTGTGGCCGAACATTTCAACTCTCCTGACCACAACATCAACGACATTCGCTGTGCACTCGTTGCTTGCAATTTCAAATCACTCAAAGAACGACGTCAATCTGAACTGAAACTCATAATCAAATATAAAACACACAGTTTTGGTCTTAATAAAGACCTGGGTATCATTAGTGACTACACCTTCCCCGATGCTGATTCAGCTAATTAATTATGCTTCATCTTAGTATCCGACTCTATACCTTTATTCACTTATATTTATTCACACATATATCTCATGTTTATATACATATCGTTCATTTCTATATATATTTTTTTATATATTTTCATTTGATAATTATATCTATGCTTTTTGTACCTTGTTAACATAATACATTTTTTATATTTCATATTGTATAGACTGGATTATGTTCACTCAACTTGTATACACCGATATCCATTTTATTTTTGTTCATTTAAGACTCATCCATATATTGCTACTAGTTTTACTATTACATATTATTATATTATCATTACTATCGTTACTATTGTAATTATTATCAT